GACTACACAGACGTACTTATTAGTTAATTAACTAAAAAGTAAACTAAACTAACTTCTACTTTTTTTTCTTTTTTTTCTTTTTATTTTTATTATTATATATATATATATATATATATATATATATATATAGCAGAATATGTAATTCCTTTCATATTAGGGATAAAATAATGTGGAATCATTCGAACTAGCGCACACGAAACAATTGAGTTTACATAGGTTATACTAAACAAACTTGTTGTACTGTTACAAACGGATTCATTAGATGGGTTTAGTTTGTTTTGAGTTTCGCGCAAAGCTATACGAGGGCTATCTGCGCTAACCGTCCCTAATTTTGCAGTGTAAGACTAGAGGGAAGGCAGCTAGTCATCCCCACCCATCGCCAACTCTTGGGCTACTCTTATACCAGTGAATAGTGGGATTGACCGTCAACCTATAACGCCCACACGGCTGAAGAGGACGGGGATTCGAACCCGCGACCTTGAGATTGTGAGTAAAGCGCACTAACCACCTGACCATTCCGGGCCTAATCCATTAAAAACTGAAGTGTTATCAACTCCAACATCTTATGAAAATCTGAGACAATATGATGAACCTGTGGCAGAGTATACATTAAAATAATAAATATAGCAGAGACATTTCGATCTTTCGCATTAAAAAGTTATTGTTAAATAGTAATAAAAACTATATTCTAATATCAAATATTATAATTGAAAACGAATGTCATTTTTTTTAAGATTCAAATTATCACAAGTAAAAATTAACTCTATTGAAACACTACATTTTCCTTTTGGATGCATAGTTTATCCTCTCATACAGATAAAAAACGAGACGTATAGAATAAATAAGTAACTGAGGAAGAACTTAATAATCTTACCATACAAGAAGTATCCAAACAAGTATTCAGAGACGCAAAACTAAGAACTTTGACATGCATTCTACACATCTTATATTTGAATTTGCATAACTCTATCTATTGATGCCAGAATACATTAATCCAGCGGGAACGTAACTTCATTATACTTGGAAAGCTGAAGACTGGAATAGCGCGTAATAATTGTTAACCTATGAATAGGTAACGAAGCATAGGAGCAGTAAGATTAACATACGTGATCAGAATGAGGTGAATTTTCATAATGATGTTATATTATCTTATTAGTTATCTCGTCATATTATAACTCGTGAAAGAGATAAAAATGTTTATTAAGAATAAATATTTTGTACTCTGTATTTGCCAGATAACAAAATTTAACGAACGCAATACAAAATATTCCTAGCTAATGTGGCTTATGTTGCTATTTCAAAAACGATAAATGCGAAAACAGATCAGAATGTATTAACACTCATTGATGGGCCCGGCATGGCTAGGTGGTTAGGGCGCTCGACCCGTAATTTGAAGGTCTCGGGTTAGAATTGCCCCTTTTAGCCGTGGAGGCGTTATAATGTAACGGTTAATCTCACTATTCGTTGGTAAAAGAGTAGCCCAAGAGTTAGCTGTAGGTTGTGATGACTAGCTGCCTTCCCTTTAGTCTTACACTGCTAAGTTAGGGACGGCTAGCGCAGAAAGCCCTCGTGTAGCTTTGCGCGAAATTCAAAAACAAAACAAAAACAAACACTCAGTGATCAGAATGATTCAGCTGTATATGTGCCTTTGTCTACTAAAAACTGAGTAAGGAACCCATTATTCTATTCTTGAATCATACAATAGTTATAATTTCGCACATAAGCTTATTAAGTCTGCAAATCAAAGTTATTTTAGGAAAATAGATTTGAATCGTAGCTACTCACGTACGTACAGAGTGTGTGTGTGTGTGTGTGTGTGTGTGTGTGTGTGTGTGTGTGTGTGTGTGTGTGTGTGTGTGTGTCTTATTATAGCAAAGCCGCATTGTGCTATCTGCTGTACCCAACGAGGGGAATTGAACCCCTGATTTTAGCGTTGTAAATCCGAAGACTTACCGCTGTTCCCCATGGGGACCACACGTACAACCACTCACTTGAGTTGTACCGTAATATTTGTAGCTTAATACTGATTCTACGGCTATTTCTCATAAAGAAGCGCTTTAAGCATGCAACTATTAGTCCACGCTATTGAATTACTACGTGTTTCTAATGAATTATCCATTTTTAGGGAAGTGAATATCAGGGAAATTATTTCATTAATAAAGTCTATAATTAACAGGGATTTTTTTTATTATTATTATTCTTGCAAATTCTCCAGTTTAACCCATTCACTCCAGCTGTCACGTATACGGGTTGGACTTTCTTTCTTCGAAAAACTGCGGCTTTGCCCGTAGGTCCATATATAGTATTTCATTTCTAGATTTCCCGAGTGACCTGTTAAAGGGTATTTATGAGTATTGAAACACTTTCCATCCACCCAGACATTATAACCGAACAATGGCTCAATCATTTTTTGTCTTTTCTCGTCAGTACCCCTCAAGATGTCAACGAAATCCCATATAAAGCACAGCCGCAATGTACCGAAGTAAAAAGTCCGACCCGTATACGTGACAGCCGCAGTGAGTGGGAAAATTTGAACATATAAGATAGCCGCAAACTCTAGTGTCTCCACTGAATTTTCATTCCTAAGGAGAAGACATTTTTACAGGGGCTTAGTATTCCGCGCTAATGGTTTGTGCGACACGTTACTTTAACTTTCCATAACGGTTCATATAAATAAGGAGCGTTATCTTCATTTAGGTTTCAAAGTCTCTATGAAGATCGTTATTTTGGGTTTTAAACAGTTTTAATTCAGATAGGCATAAAAACGTCTTTGCATATGACAGCATTCTTTAACTTCCCAACCAAATAATAGTTAGTTGAACTATGATTACTTTTAACTGTCTACTAAAACACTTCTAGTTATTCTAGTCCTTACAATAACTAACTAATTTGAGAACATTTAATCCAATATTATTTGCATTATAATGTATATATTGACTGACATTGGTTTGTTTTTTGCACCGTGTTCAATTGTTCTTATTCTCATTAACTTATTACAATACGAGTTAAACTTAACTAATGCATAACGTTTAAAGAAACTGTATTTAGTCTTTGTTTTTCTATGCCAAATAAAATAAAAAATACAAAGTGAAAAAATTGCATAAGAATTGATACATTTTTCAGATCAGTTTGAAAATTTGTAGTAACATTCCAAATCAAAAACTTTGTCTTCCATTTACTTTATCTATTGATTTTGATTTAGTAACTTTACATTCTACGTGGCTTTTATTATATATAAAAATAAAAATTCAATGTTTTTCAAATGAATAAAATTTAATAAAATTCGTACTACTTGTTTCTTTCAGATATTCACGCAACGCTACTCAGGGACTATCTGCACTAGTCGTCACGAGTTTTGAACTAATAGACTAGACTAAAAACAACAGCAGTCACCGCCAACTTCCAGGTTGATCTAATCGAATAGTGGAATTGAACAGTTACTGTTACAGCGCATCCAGTATTTCATGGTGTACAGCGTGATTTTGCGGAAAAGAGACGCGAACAAAGGACTCTCAGGTTTACAGACCAGCAGGCTAACCAGCGAGACGCATTTGGCCCAAAATACATACTGAAGCAATTGTTATTAAAGAATGCATGCGTTTGTTCGCAACATGAAGACTGGTGTCTGTTGTCTTTGAAAACGTTGTCATCATTACTGCACCATCTATCTCAGCATCGGTTGCACCATAAAATCTGTAAACTAAAATGTGATAAAAATACCTTATAACACTGGCATATCATTTTTATTAAACATCCAGGGATAGTTCCACTATATGAAGGTTAAATCAGTAATTGATGGTTTTTACTTTAAAAATTTTCAACACAAACAAGACCAATATATCGTCGAAACAGCTCGAAATATATTCAAAAAAATTAAAAGTCCTTATTTTTACTTCTTGGCTAACATAGTTTCTTACCCTGAGCTGATAATGCTAATAATAAACATTTGATAAGAAGGAACAGTCCCAAAACTGAAGACAATCACAGCCATTAACGTCGACCTTTATTCAACCATAAACATATTTTTGTCAAGTGAAGATACTTTAGACAAAAAAAAAAAAAAAAAAAAAAAAAAAAAAATGCAGATTTTATGTAGAATTAGGAATTTGAAAACAAAAAATTAAGAGAGAAGGAGCTTAAGTGCATTTACTTCTAGTATGTTCGAACATGTTTCAGTACTTACCCTCTGAACTAATGAAGTTGGTTGCGTTCCACAAGAAACTGTAAGAAGATTCAACTATAAAAATAAGAGTCAACAATAATAACATTTCAGCTTCTACATAAATTATTTTAACATACAACTCAAGGTTTCACTATATTGGTTATTTCTATTTACCTATACATAAATTAGTATAAAGTAGTAACCCAACAAACAAAAGTAATAAAGCTAAACCTATTTATCAGTTATATGGTCTAATGAAAAGGCCTCATAAAAAATCTTTACTTTGACAAACAAATGTTTGAATTTAATATATTTCCTCAGCTCTGCAAATATAAATAAATGTTTTAATTATTCATTAAAATATTATTTATTTAAAGCTTAAGATTCTTGAAGGAAAATTAAACATTGATTGCGTACACCAGCTTAACTTAAGTTACAGTTTACAAATGCTTTATACATGTATTTTTTTTTAAGTTTCAGCTTCTTACAAACATCTGCACATAAAACATTTTACGAATGCATCCTACTTTAAAGGAAGATTAACCCAAAAGATTTATTGCGGTTTTCATTAGAGCTTTAGCGATATTTTGAAACTGCATAGCCAAGTTTTGACGAATGCATCCTACTTTCAAGGAAGATTAACCCAGAAGATTTATTGCAGTTTTCATTAGAACTTCAATGATATTTTGAAACGGCATAGCCAAGTTCGGACGAATGCATCCTACTTTAAAGGAAGATTAACCCAAAAGATTTATTGCAGTGGTCATTATAGCTTTAATCATGTTTTGAAACTGCATAGCCAAGTTCTTTGGTAAAATTTAAGTTCAAAAGTTCTTGTTTTTCCACTCAAATTACTATAAGAACAAATATGCATTTTAAAACGAAAATAATAATAATTTATAAGATTTGATATAGTAGAAAACACTCATCTACTGTACAGTAGGATTACATGTCGTAAAGCTGTAGGCACCCACTCTACAGTAGGGTTACATGTCGTAAAGATGCAGGCACCCACTTCATTTTAATATTATAGGTATAAAGATCCAGACACCCACGTAATCATTGTATCACATGTTGTAGAGCTACAGACGCTCACTCTATAGCAATATTACATGTCGTACAGCTGTAGGCACCCACTTTATCGTAAAATTACGTGTCACAAGTTGTAGCTACCCACTTTACGGTAGGATTACATACCGCAAGATTACAAGTACCTTAATGAGTGATATAACTTTATAAGCACTCACTTTTAACAATGGGCATACGTTGTTGAATTACAAATAATTAGCGCCTTCTAAGATTAGTGAGACGTTCCATACTAAAGAAGAGTAGCGTGTACTATCAGTGACGTCTATAATAATAAAGGTTTGCATGTTGTATTACTGCTAAGATTTATAGCATAGATGATGATCTGATGTACTATTGGTGGTAAGTTTGGTAAAGGAAGAAGATGAGTTTTATTTTTTAGCGATACCTAGAGTAAAGGAGGCAAGATGTGCTGTGTTAGTGACGTTTGTTGTCAGAGTTTTAAATATCTTTGGTTGGGCTGAGATTATTGGACAGTAGATATCGGACTTGTTAGCGATAAATTCGAACAATAAACAGACAGCACACAATTCACTTGTTTTAAAATAATATATTCAAAACAAGGTACGTAGGTACAAAAAATTCTTTACACTATCACAGTTGTATCTTAAACTCTAAATAATTATTTTTCTTGTCAAAAGTCCACAGACTGATTAAATTACTTTGGAATTCAATTGACAAAACGAATTATTTTTCTGTACTCTGTTTCTTACTGTACAATCTGCGATAAATTCACTTACTTTACTCCGTGGGTTACCACAGTTGTATCTCGAACTTTAGATAATTGTCTCCTTTTCGTCAAAGTCCACACAGTAGGGTTCAATTACTTTAGAACACCCTTTGACAAGACAAATTGTTCTCCTTATCTCTATTAAACTGTGAAACTCACTTTAAAATATCGCCCGTTATGGCTAATTACTCACACGCCGGCTAATTTCACATTTTCCAACTTTTTTTCTGGCTGAATTTGACTTGCGTTCGCTTGGTCTCCTATATTTACACATTGTTCAATGAGGCCTCAAACTTTCTATAAACTACGCGAGCGACGCTGTAATGTAATAATACTCACTTAAGGTAACGAGAAAAATACCAAAGATTCGAGAAACTTGGCGTCGACAATACTACAATTGAAACACACACACACACACACAGTATACGACTCTTACAGAGTTACGCAACCAAACTTGTCATAACTATCGCCTTTAATATAATTAACTTTAACTCTCTTGTTATGAAAAATAAATAATAATTTAATATTAAATAACTAAATGAACTAAATAATAACTCTTACACTAAACAGTCATATATATCCAACACTTGTCGAAACAGAAGGTAGCATGTTATAATGCTAGTAACATCACCAAAGGACTTCAGCAGCGAAGTCCTTTATTATGTTAATGGAACAAAAATATAATATTCACGAGGAAAAGTAGAACAGCCTCCTCTTAATTCTTTAGAACCTGTACATCCATCAGAATAATATTATAACATCACAAGAGCTGGATCTGTAAAGCAGAATACGTTTCATTGTCTCAGAAGACTAAACTATTCAACTCTATACTCAGAGATAACTATAAGGCTTCAACTATAAACTACCATTCGTTGGAGTTATGAGTAATGCCATCCATTAAATATAACGTTAAAAGAGGCCACGTGGCATATAATGCCATCCATTAACTATAACGTTACAAGAAAGCACGTAGTATATAAAGCCATAACAAGCGTTCATGTCGTATATAATGCAACGAATTAACTATAAAATAACAAGCAATCGTGTCGTATATAATGAAAGGCATTAACTATAGTGTAACAAGCGACCGCGATGTATATGATGCCATGAATTAACTTTCTTCTATAGCACAACAAACAGCACATTAATTAAAAGTGCCTACTTTTTACATGATAACAATCAGAACACCACTGATAATCACAAAATGGAAAAGACTGTGACAACACTAAAACTTATCCACACTGTATTAAAAGACAAGTTAATAGGTTAATGAAATATTCCACCATATTTTCGGCATTTAACAGACACACACAATATACAAACTTCTTCTAGGTGTACAAACTTTTACATAGACTAAAACACACAGTAAGTACATCGACTCGGGTATTTATTACGGCTCTTATTTAACAGGAGAGGGGGGACCACATTTCGCCCTAATTTTCAATGAATATTTCCTGTATTTAATTCGCAGATATCGGCAGAAAATTATGGTAAATAAAATGTTCAGATTCGTCCCAAAGATGTTCAACCAGATTGGAATGGAAAAACCCTTGTAGTTCAGGTAAGAATTACAATACTAAGGAAAGGACTTGATTGACAACAACGTTCAGACACAATCTGAATGTTATTCAACCTTCTAAAGGAATAAAAAAGACCCAACCCCTGCACAAGGACCCGTCATGCTATTACACCTCCTTTACCAGCATGTAGAATCAGAATAATATAAATAGGGTCAAGTGAAAAAAAAAAAAAAAGACTCAGACCACATCACACTCTCTCAGTCATAAACGGGTTTAGTACTGTTTTGTTGTAGTTTGTTTGTTTCTTTTGTGTATGTGTTTTTTGTTGTTGTTGCTTTTTACTGCTTTATAACTGTTTACAATGTTCTTTCAATGACACAGCTATATTATTAGTTGAATCTTAACCGCTGTTGTAAATAATTGGCCACTTAAGAGTGACTGGTATGTCCTAAATATTTTATAAGCCTGGCTCGTCATCTTTTCCCTTGACCTTTCGCCAGCTATTTGCGGCCACAGTTTCTCCTAGTGACAAGCGTATTCCCTTTCGATTTGCCACTGTTATTACAATCTGATGACAGATGTATTTTAACAGCTGGTAAGAAAACAGTCTTTGATAAACACATTTCTGCTACACCGGCACCAGTTATCATATTCCTTTGAAAGTTTGAATTCCTTACTCTTGTGCGATGGTTTCAAGACTAACACAAAAATATAGCTACATCTCTTATTAAATCTCAAGCATTCATCTGATTCATGATATGATCAATCTACAAATAGATATGGCTAGTCAATATACAACAATGAAAAATAATTTCACCAAATGCATATGTTTTCGTATTTAATAACTTACCTTAATTCCAGGAAATACAACAATAGGCCTATTAGTCATGTTCTAAAGAGATCGTTGATAGAGGATTTTTTCAACTATTGTGGATTCATTGAGTAAGAATTTGTTTTGTTTACAGAGTCACTGTTAGATGAACTTTAACGATGACAAACTACTTAAAGTTATTATCAATCCAAACTGGCCAGACTAATGAACAGAATTCGCTTACTGGAAACATATTGGAGTAAAATAATTTGTACATAAATAATAAGACAATAAGCTCAAAATTAATAAAATTACGTTTTAACTAGTCATGTATACATACTGTATCTTGTTAAAATATTAGCCAAAGCTAATTTGTACTAATCATAAACAAGTTTGTTTTGAATTTCGCGCAAAGCTACACGCGGGCTATCTGCGTTAGCCGTCCTAATTTAGTAATGTAAGACTAGAGGGAAGGCAGCTAGTCATCACCACCCACCATCAACTCTTGGGCTACTTTTTTTACCAACGAATAATGGGATTGACCGTCCCATTATAACGCTCCCACGTCTGAAAGGGCGAGCATGTTTGTGTGACGGAGATCCGAACCCGCAGATTGCAAGTCGAGCGCCCTAACCCCACATAAATAATTAGTTCAATCTGTTATAATACGTTTGAAAAATTTTAAATAGGTAATTTAATTCAACAACATTCATCAACAGAAACACAAGTTTCCATTCCTAAATAGATGTATAACGTGTTGAAACATCTATAAAAGTATGGTTTTGTACCAATACTAAATGGGGAAGTTACCTTGTTAAAACGCTAATAAAATATTTTACTATTTAGAATAGACAGTTTAATTCAACAGAATCATTCTTACTATTCATGAATCATTTCGAAAGCATGCGGCTGCTACTCGTAAATATGAAGTTTAAATTGTTAAAGTATTTTTAAACGTATATATTATCAGTAGTTTTAGATTCAGTTTTATGGGAACACCTAACAAAGAATAGTACTTCCTGTACATGTCTAATTACTTTAAAATACATAACTTTAGGGCAGACTTTTTGGACGTAACCGAATCTCTTAAATTAATTACTTTCAGTAACAGATTGTTTGTTCCTTTAACTAAATTATATCGTGAAATTTAAAGACAGCTATAGAAATATTACTCCAGAAGTTCATTGTTCTGGTTATGCAACTTATTCCATTCCTTATAAATTAATTATATCGAACGTGCTGTACATACTAATTAATGTTTCTAGCATGCTACTAACATGTGCTTCGTTTTTTCCACATACAACACGGAGCTATGATAACTCAGCAACTCATGGGTATAACCCAGCAACTCATGGGATACCATAGCCTATGTTGTATGTGGAAAAAATGAAGCACAGTTACCAAAATGTAAATACTTGAACATGGGCCTGTTTAGCCACTGTCATATTATTATTGACTTCATTTAGCAATTAAACATCCATCATGCACGACATTCTTTAATGATTATGTCGAGCTTACCTGCTGCTTATTTTCTGATATTGATCCAATGCCTTCGTCATACAGCATACAAGGTGTATCTGAAATGCTATTATATACAATCTTGTTACTGAAAATCCATTCTGATCCAGTAAAAGCGATACAGCATAAATAATTATCATTCACATCTCGTACTTATTACTGATACTACTCAATGTCATGATGCAAAGCTCTACACTAACAAAAAAAGCAAATAACTTTTTTAAAGAAAATTCGTACTGATAATAATGACAACTAGCAGAGACCTGCAAAACATTTTCGGCCAAATTAGTATCTCTATGGTAACAGCACTTCTTTAAATATAACATTTCTAGCACAATACAAATGAATTGTAATCGTAGACAGCGAAGTGTGTAAATCCATTTGTATATAGGCCGTACTTTATAAAACTTTAACTTACGTTAGGCCTAAGTTCGATAAAGAGATAAATTAACACTGTAGCCTGTGTACTTTTTTTTTTTTACTTTAGTTAGGACTAAACTTTACTGTACTTAATACTATCGATAAATAAACTTAATGTTTTTCTACGACCTAACGTCAAACATTTTTTAAAAACATTTATAAGGTTTTAATATTTTGTTGTACAAAATGGTTAGTAAAGTATATTTACATTCTCCTTTTGTTGTTACTTCTTGTTTCATACAGCAATTGTAGCGACTTGCTCACCGAGCTGTGCAGCTCTCC